GCGGGACTCGATCCCGGGACTCCAGGATCATGACCTGAGCCGAAGGCAGTTGCCCAGCCAACTGAGCCACCCAGGCGTCTCTAAGATTTTATTTTTAACTAACCTCTACACCCAATGTGGGGCTCAAGCTCATGACCCCGAGACCGAGTCACATGCTCTGCTGACTGAGCCAGCCAGGTGCCCTGAGATATCTGGATGTGGGGGCCACAGGATGCAGGGGCAGGGGTGGGGGGCAGAAACAGGGAGGAGACCAGGGACAGTTTGGATTCCAAGGTAAGGGACTGCACCTATTGCAGAAGCCAGTGGGAAAGAGTGGAGGAGACAGAAAGTGACCTTTTTTTTTTCAAGTTATCTCCGATAAACAGGAATGACCTCTGTAATCAGAGCAAAATAAACATTTTCAGTGAAGACTGCTCTGGCAGTAGGCAGGGTGCCCCGTTCCTATTCTCTATCCCTGCCCGCACCCCCCTTCTCTGTCCATGTTAAATAATGAGGGTCAGCTTCAAGGGGAGGAGACAGTCAGCTTGAAGGAGTGGCAGAGGGGATGGAGGGCTGTCGAGGGGCTGGCAGGCCATGCCTGGTCTGAGCACCTTTCCCCGGCTTCTTTAGGCTGGCCTTTCTGACTGTGGGATTGAGAATCAGGGCCCCCAGGGCACTGCTGGCCTTTTCCTATCTGCAGGGGAGAGTGAGGTTTGGGGTTCCCCTACCGGTGTTGGGGGGGTCTCCAACAACCTTTCTGTATAGCCACTGGGCCTGTGGAGTCCAGTGGAGTTTATCCCCTCCCTCCCACTTGCACACGGTTGAGGGATCTGGGAGGGAGGGGAGGAGCAACAAGGGCCCTGAGCTGTCTGTGAAGGAGCTGAGAAGGCCGGGCTCCCCTCCCTCTCTCCAAGCTCTGTCCGTTGGGTCAGACTGTCACCGGAGGGCTTTTTAGGGCCAGGGGCTGGGACTGGAGGACTGAGCAGCCCTGGGAGATTTGGAGGCTCAGTGAGGTCTAAGAACCTCTGGAGTGATGGGGTGCCTGGGTGGCTCAGTCGTTAGGCGTCTGCCTTCAGCTCAGGTCATGATCCCAGGGTCCTGGGATCGAGTCCCGCATTGGGCTCCCTGCTCCTCAGGAAGCCTGCTTCTCCCACTCCCACTCCCCCTGCTTATGTTCCCTTTCTTACTGTGTCTCTCTCTGTCAAATAAATAAATAAAATCTTTAAAAAAAAAAAAAAAAGAACCTCTGGAGTGAAGCAAGGTCCTGCCCCCCAGGGTCCCATCCCAAGGGCCTAGCAGCCCCTTTCCCTGACCCCACCTCAGGACCCTGCTTGGGTCCTGCATTCACCAGCCCGGGCTGCCCGAGTCCCAGCCAACCCGGCCCGTGCAGGCCACAAGCCTGCCTTTGTGGACTCGCCCTCCTGCATGGGCCGTGCCAGGAGGGGCTGACCCGCATTCTGCCTTGCAGCTGGGACGAGCCCGCATGGGCCTGGGCCCCCCTCCTTAGCCCCATGGGGAGATGGAGCTGGCGTGAATGCAACATCCTGCATTTTTAGAAACTGACTGTGGTCCAGGGCAGGCCCTGGGGAGCCAGCTGCTCATGTGAGAAAGATCATTGATTCATTCACTTGTTCAATAGATGCTTGTTGAGGCTCTGCTCTGTGTCAGGCCCTGGTCTTGTGGTCCTGCCACAGATGGCTCTTGCCCTTTTAGGAAAAAGACTGGAAGGAAACCCCCTGCCTTAGAGTCACTTGGGGGGCCTGCTCCCAGAGTTTCTGATTCAGCGGGTCTCAGTTGAGGCATGAGAATTTCTGACAAGTTCCCCAGTGATGGTTATATGCTGCTGGTCCAGGGACCACAGTTCGAGAGCCAGTGTGACTTAGGACCAGGGGGAGGAATTATGAGTGATTTAGGTTTCTGTACTTTCAAAACTGTTTCTGTGATCATGGTTTACTTTTATAAATAGAAAAATCAGTTATTTATTTATTTATTTTAAAGATTTTTTATTTATTTATTTGACAGAGAGAGACACAGTGAGAGAGGGAACACAAGCAGGGGGAGTGGGGGAGGGAGAAGCAGACTTCCCGCTGAGCGGGGAGCCCGATGTGGGGCTCGATCCCAGGACCCTGGGATCATGACCTGAGCCGAAGGCAGACGCTTAACGACTGAGCCACCCAGGCGCCCCTAGTTATTTAAAAGTTAACAAAATAAATGGTCCCCCCAGATTGACTCCAGTGCTCTGGATATGGTCCTGTGTTGAGCGATGTCACCTCCCATGACTTAAATGTCATACATCTATTAACGTAGCCCAACATTATGAGCTTTAATGTTCTCTGCCCTTCCCCTTGGTTCATCCTGAGCTTCAGGTCCACTTAGACCTCCATATCCTCCCCATCACCTGTTAGCGTGACTGCAGTGAGAATAAGTGAGATATTAGGAAATAGCAGGGTGGGGATTTGAATACAGGCTCATCTGGAGGCTGGCTTACTTTGGGTTTAGCTGACTGGCCCGTACTTCCTGAGTGCCGTTTCCTTTATGCTTCCTTAATCCACCAGCTGAAATGGAGTGTGGACACCTCACTTCCTCATTTCTTTGGACTGGTGTGATCATTGACTGTCCCACTTCCTCTTTTTCCACGTTTAGTTCTGTCCACTTGGCATGGTGGCAGTGAGTCTGTGTGTATACTGGGATGGAGGTGGAGATGGGGTCCTGGTGAGGGAACCCTTCCTCTGAGCTGGTGGAGGCAGAATCATCCACTTTGCGGGTTGCTGCTGAAGCCACTCCTAGAGGAGAGGCCGTGGTGGCAAGTGGGGATTTGGTCCTTGGGTTGACGGTGGGAACGGGACAGTATGTCATTGGGAGAAACAGATCCTTGTCCCCTCTGTCTTCCTCTCCTGAGTTCAGGACCATGTGAGAAGTAGTCCGCGGGAGTCAAACAGACGAATGAGCTTTCACATTAAGAACTGGCCTGCTTCCTAACCCTGCTCCTGAATTAAACTGACCCACCCAGTCTCCAGGGACACTGGACAACCTCAGGCCATGCCCCCAGAGGGAGCCACCCAATTTCTTTGGGGAAAGGAAGGCACAGAGGGGCTGGTGAACACACTCTGGATTGTGGCCCCTCTCAAGGGCCTGCAGAGTTGTTTTTTTTTTTGCTTCTTGGACCCACCTCCCTGCCCCCATCAGCACCACCCTTGGGTGTTTCCTCTGGCTCCTCAGGGATGCCTTTGGCAGATCATTCCTCCCCTGTGACTCAATTTCTCTTTTCATTTATTTTTATTTTTTTAAAGCTTTATTTATTTATTTATTTGCCAGAGAGAGAGAGAGAGACCACGAGCAGGGGAGTGGCAGGCAGAAGGAGAAGCAGACTCCCCGCTGAGCGAGGAGCCCGATGCGGGACTCGATCCCAGGACCAGGGGATCATGACCCGAGCCGAAGGCAGACACTGAACCAACTGAGCCACCCAGGCGTCCCTCAGTTTCTCTTTTTAGTATACCATCTTGTTTAATTCATTCAGTCATACTAAGAGTAGATATTATTTCTATTTGTGACTCAGTTTTCACATTTGTTATTAGATATAATAATTATCCGTTTCTCCTGCTGGGTTCCTCCCTCACCCCCTTACAATCTATCTGTCTAATGATTGTTTCAGGTTGGTATGTCTTTTTTGTGGTTGTTTATCTAACTGCACATGGTACACTCATTCAGTTAATGTTTGTTGGGAGTCTGTGGGGTGCTAGGCCAATGCTGGGTGTGGGGGATACAGCAGGGATCAGGGTAGATGTGGGGTAGTGCCACACACTCCCAGAGGGGAGACAAACTCTTAAATAGAAAATTTAGATATGCTCATGGTGACAAAGGGGAAGTGAGGGACATTTGGGAGCTGGTGACGGAGGTGGTCAGGAGCTGCCCTGAGGAAGTGAGGTCATCCCCCGCACCCTCCACTTAAAACCCAAACCCAACTTCTTGGCCCTTCAAGGCCCTAGATGGCTGATCTCTGTCTGTTTGCCCGGCCTCAGCCCACCCTCCTCTAACTACCCTGGCCACCTTGCTATATTCTGACACACTGGGCTCTGTCCTTTGCACACACCAGACCCTCTGCCTAGAGTCATCTCTCCCTGGCTGGCTGGCTGCATGGCTGTTCCTTCTTCCCTCAGCTCAGATGTCCCTTCTTTGGAGACGGCCACCCCAACCATGCCCTGGGACACAGCCTTTCCCCAGTGCTGTAGCATGTTACCTAGGTGTGGGGGTTTTTGTTTCTCGCCATTTATTTGGATTTTTTAATTTGTTGGTTTATCATGTGTCTCCCTAGTGAGATCTGGGGCTCCGTGCAGAAGATACAGAAGGGGCCCCGTCAGTCTTGGTCAGTACTGTCCCTTCCCACCCCCCGTGCTTGGCACGGGGCCTGGCACAGAGTTGGTGCCCATGAATGCTTGTTGAATGAGCCTGTCCTGCTTCCCCAGAGCGGTTAGTTTCCCTATTGCTCCTGCGACAAATCACCGCAAATCGAGTAGCTTCAAACAATCCCAGATTATTATCTTAACATTCTGGAGGTTCGAAGTCTGAAAATCGAGGTGTTGGCAGGGCTATGTTGGTGAGGCCACATGGCGGGGCTCTGGGGGAGGATCTACTCCCTTTTCCAGCTTCTGGACGCGGCCTGTATTCTCCGCTTCGTGACCCGTCCTCCATCTTCAGCGCATGTCCCTCTGACCTCTGCTCTGTCACGTCACATCCTACTTTGATCCTCTTGCCTCCCTCTTACAAGAACCCATGTCATTACGTTGGGCTGCCCAGATAGAATACAGGAACATCTCCCAATCTTGGGATCCTTACCTTCATCTCCTTCACAAAGTCCCTTTTGCCGTGTAAGGTAACATATTCACAGGTTCTGAGAACGAGGACACGGATGTCTTTGGGGGGCCGTTATTCAGCCTAGGAGAGTGTTGGGTGTGGCCTGCATTCAGGCCTCAGGCCACCGCCACGGGGCCCGGTGGTGACCTGACCGCCCCGTCCCCCTGCAGGACGAGATCGAGGAGCTTCGGGCCGAGATGCTGGAGATGCGGGACGTCTACATGGAGGAGGATGTGTACCAGCTGCAGGAGCTGCGGCAGCAGCTGGACCAGGCCAGCAAGACCTGCCGCATTCTGCAGTACCGTCTGCGCAAGGCCGAGCGCCGCAGCCTCCGAGCCGCGCAGACGGGCCAGGTGGATGGGGAGCTCATCCGTGGGCTGGAGCAGGACGTCAAGGTAAGCACCAGGCCTCCCCGCCAAGCCCCGGTCGAGCCCAGGTCAGCTTGCTCCTTGTGTGTCCTTGAGCAAGTTACTCCACCTCTCTGGGCCTCAGCTTCCTCATCTGTAAAGTGGGGATCCCTGGCGAACTGACAGGGGTGCCTCAAGGTAATATCATAAATATGAATCCTACTCAAAGCAGCCACTCTGAGTGTCAACCACATGCCGGGCTCTGAGTTGTTCATGCACCGTCTGGGGAGGGTTCTTGGGGTTTTTATTTTTATTTATTTTTATTTTTTTATTTTTTAAGATTTTATTTATTTATTTGACAGAGAGAGACACAGCGAGAGAGGGAACACAAGCAGGGGGAGTGGGAGAGGGAGAAGCAGGCTTCCCGCTGAGCAGGGAGCCCGATGTGGGGCTCGATCCCAGGACCCTGGGATCATGACCTGAGCCGAAGGCAGACACTTAATGGCTGAGCCACCCAGGCGCCCCAGGTTCTTGGGGTTTTTAAAAATTTTTTTATTTTATCTTATTTTTAAGTAGGCTCCACGCCCAGCGTGGAGCCCAATGCAGGGCTTGAACTCACAACCCTGAGATCAAGAGCTGAGCTGAGATCAAGAGTTGGAGGCTTAAGGGGGCTGAGCCACCCAGGCGCCCCTGTGGAGGTTTCTTTATTGTGCTAAGGAGCGTAGTGAAGGCCTGGAGTTGGATAGGGCTGGTTTAAATCTGGACTCCAAAGTGCCCTAATTTTGAGATTTTGAGCAAGTCACCTAAGTTTCAGTTTCTTCACCTGTAAAATGGGTGTCACAGCAGCGAGGTTCTCTGAGGGTTAGAAGAGATAATACAGGTAAGATGTCACTGTAAACCCTCAAAAATGTTCGCTGTTATTAGTCCCATTTTCTGGATGAGGAAAGTGAGGCTCAGAGAAAGGAAGGACCTACCTGTCCAAGGTCACATGACACTCAGTGTGTAGTGGTTACAGTGCAGGCTTATCAGCCTCCTGTGCCTGGCCTGGCCTCCCTCCCTGCTGATGGGCTGGAGGCTGGCAGGAGGGCCCTCCAGGAAGAGCTGACCCCTGCCTGTCTGTGTGCCCAGTCCCCGGCTCTCAGAACTCAGCCCAGTGTGAGCAGGGGGTGTAGGAGCTGGGGGTGGGGATGCAGCCTGGGGGCCCTAGGGGCTCTTCCTGCAGTGGTGACTTCTGAACCCAGGCCTGAGGGAGAAGAGGGCCTGAGCCGGGACTGGGGAGGAGGAATGCCGGGGCGGGGAGAGAGCCTCTCTGTAAGGGCCGGGAGGTAAACCCTGAGTGCCAGCCGGCCACAGGCAGGCTCGCATTTCCCATTGTCTTTGCGGGGGCGCAGTTGGGATTACAGGTCGGCTGTGCAGATGAGGAAACTGAGCTCAGAAGGGGTGTGTCTCCCAGGCCAAAGCTACCTGACTGGCAGCCCCCGGGATAGGTGGTTGCACAGATACTCCAACTCCAGGCACTGGATGGACAGGGCTTGGGGTGGGGAAGAGCTGGAGAAGCTCAGACGAAGCAGAGTTGGGGCCTGGGTGGCTGGGGCTTTGGGGCCGGGACACCAAAGAGTCAGCCTTAGAGAGATTGGGGGGCGGGGGGGGGAGGACCGACTGGGCCGGCTAGCCATCGCCTTGGTGGGAGGAGCCAGAGCAGCTGGTGTGCATGTCGGAGGGGGTCTCTCTCGGCTCCCGGGGCAGGGAAGCCGCCCCTTCTGTTGGGATTTGAACTAGCCAATCAGCGTCCACCTTGCCCCCTTCTCCCCCTCTTCTCCCCGCCCCTGCAGCTGGAGCGCTGAGCTCATCCCTGCAGGCCCGGGCTGGATGCCTCTGGCCACCACATCCTTCCCACGTGCTGGACTTGTTCTCAGTCACTTTGGGGGTTCTCAGAATTGTGGTGTCTCCTGGGGGGGCTTGATGGGCCCAGCTGGGGAGGGGACCTCAGAGCTGGGTATCCCTGGGGACTCTCTGACTTGCTCTGCCAGCTCCTTGGCCCACCCTGGGACTGGCTTGGGCCGCCTCTTGGGGCCTCAGTTTCCCCTTCTGTTAAATATGGGGCTGAGAGCAGCCAAATCTATAGGGCTTTTGCAGTTCCAGTGGTTTTGTCGAGCAGGTAGGTTATTGGTGAGGGCGCCATGAGTAACACCTTGGTATCCCTCTCCCCCAGGCTCTCTCACTGTCTGTGGTCCTCACAGCCTGCAGGCCCCACAGAGCCTCAGTGGGAACATACATGAGGAGGGCAGGGTGGTGGCGGTGCAGAGACCTGCTCTCCCACTTGCTTGGTGCGTGACCTTCGGAAAGCTGCTTCACACCCCTTGTGGAAAAGGGAGATAAAACTAGATTCTACCTAGAGAGATTTTTGCGAGGATAAAACGAAATGGCTCATGTAAAGAGAGTGCTGGCCACAAAATCCGGCACCGGGTGTTCACCCGGCAAAGGAGCAAATGTTGGTTGCAGTGTTACTGTTCAGAAGATCCTAGAAGGCACTCGTAGGGCAAGGGCAGAGAAGGGGAGGCCAGAATCTCAGCCTGCCTGCGTAGATAAGAATCCCCTGGAGGACTTGTCCACAGTGCAGATTCCCAGGCCCCACCTCCCGTTCCCCCTCCCTGAGGATTCAGTGACAGTGACAGGGAGGCTGAGAGGTCTGATGTGAGGGGGACCGTGGCCTGGAGGCTGCTGGTTGCATTTGGCAGGAGCCAGGCCTCAGTGCTGTAAACAGTGACCTCATGGCTGAACGCATTGTTTGTGCTTTGGGGATTTGCCCTGGTGTCCAGAAGCTGCAGCTGCTTCACCTCCCGGAGTATCTCAGCCCCCCTGCCCTGGGAGTAGTTGGGAGGATCGTAAGATGATGAAATGAGACAAGCAGGTGGGGCCCTGTGAGCATGTGACACCGTGAACCCTCTGCTGGGCTTATTATTAATACTTTTAGTACCGATATTAACATAATGTCTTCAGGCTTCGGGCCAACAACAGGGTCAGGTTGAGAGCAGGACTCTAGAGTTGACCCACCTGATTTCAGACCTTGTTTCTGTAGCTTCCTAGCCGTGTGCCCTTGGGCAAGTGACCTTTCCTTTCTGTACCTCAGAATGGAAATAACAAAGCCTTTCTCGAGGGGATGAAAGGCATGTGGTGTCAGGAAGTGAGAGCCGATTCTGTAAGTCACCCATGAGAGGCAAGAGCACCCAGGGCGACTGAGAAAGAGGAAGGGACGGGCGGAGGCCACCAGACTCCTGCCCTCCAGGCTACCGTGCTCTTCCTCTAAAGGGGGCACAGGGTTCTGTGGGATCTGAAATTAAGGGCTCTTTTGTTCCCACTGCAATCCTATAAGCTGCCTGGGGTTGGGCTTTCTTGACATAGCAACCCTTGGGGGTGGGGGACAAATGGGGAAGGCGATCCTATGGAGAATGGGGTGGAAGGAGCCTGGGGACTCATGGAAGGGATGAAATCAATAGAGTCATTTATGAACCCAAGAGGACCCAGGAATCCACGGATCATGACTTCTTGAGGGGGAGTGTTGCCTACCAGGTCGAGGCCATGGTGGGGATGGAGCGACCCCTCAGATGGAGAGGAGCTGGCCCCAAGTGGGAGCGCAGTTAGGAGAGAAGCCCTCACGTCAGTCAGGGACACAGCTCTCCCTGGACGGTGGGTGGGGTGCTGGTTGAGGGGAGCATCCCCCTCGTCAAGTTAGGAGAGGTGCATCTCCCCATATTTCAGGCATTCGCCCCTTCACCTCCCTCTCTTTTCCCTTTTTGGAACCTTGGATTTGTTTGTTCTCCGACCAGCATTTCCTGGGCACTAGCATGTGCCAGACCATGCGCTGCTACTGGGACACAGGGAGGTGAAGGAGCCCAGGCATGGTCTGGGGCCTTCATCTCTGTGCCCCACCGCTCCTGCCCCACGGTCTCAACAGGATGAACAAATAAATGAATGAATGAATGGAGTATTGATCAGGGCAGGGACTTTCTGGGTGACTTAATAGCCAACCTGGAGACCACAGCCAAGAGCCTGGGGCTGAACCCTTCCAGCAAAATCCTTGACCCCAAACTCAAGAGTGAGGCCCAGTCCAGTAAAACCAGTGCACAGAGGTGAAGCAGTGATCCTGGCAGTGCATTAAAAAGTTGTATTTCTTGATGTTCCAACCACCAGCCCAGGGACTACGTCATGTGTTCCTCACGGTGGCTCCTGGGAGTGGGCTGTCTCCATTCCACTTACCAGTGACCACACCGAGACTTCGAATGTGTCAATAAACTTGTCGTGGGTGTCCACACAGAGAGCGCTGGAGTCATACTCAGTCTAGCTCTCCCTGCCTGCCAAGTCCTTGTTCTGCTATTGAGGGGTTTGTGGATGGGGGATAGATCCCGGCTGTCCTTGGGGATCCTCAGAGGCAGAGAGCGGCAGTGGGCAACAGACGGTGGGGGAGGCAGCGCCGAATTCCCTTTCTGGCCGTTGTTTTTCCTGGCCTGCCTCTCATACTGCCAACGGGTCCATGCCGAGCTGGGCCTGGGCCCAGGCAGAGGGAAGAGCCAGGGAGGGCCCTCTTCCCTTCCGGCGTGGAGGAGGTGCCATGGCCATTTCCGAGACTGGCAGGCATGGGGTGTTGGGCTGTCTGCCCCTCACATACCTCTTGTGGGCAAAGCCCTCGGACCCCTCCAGAGCCCCTGACCACGTTGGCCTCTCGGGCAAATCCCAGGGGCTCCCCCCAGCTCGGGTCCCCCTGGCTAGGCATGACCCCGAGTCAGGTCACTTAGGCTGTGAGCCTCAGACAGAATTGGGGTAAATGAATCTGGCACACGGTAGGTAGTCAACAAATGATAGTTGTGATTTACCAGCTCAGAAGGGCCTTCCGCATCCCCAGAGGCTCCCCTTTCCTGGCCTTTGACCCCCAGGGTGTCCTCGAGGAAATGGGGTGCTCTGCTGCAGAGCCCTGGCACCAGGATTGACGTTTGCAGCTCTGTTAGTTCCTTTCTGTACGGATGACTTGGACACGCGCCCAGCCTTTGTCATTTAGAGCATGTTCTATGTCCCAGACAATTGAAAACCAGCCTCAGGGTCACACCATGACCTCCAGCAAGTCAGGCCCCTCTCTGAACTTCGGCATGACCACTCCCCCGGCACTCAACTGTGCTGGCCCAGGGCCCAGGCTTTTTGTGCCATAGCTGATTCGGTCCTCCTGCGGGGCCCATGAGGTTGCTGCTATTATTGCATCCATTTTGCAGTTAAGGAGACTGAGGCACAGAGTCGGGAGATGGTTTGCCCAGGATCCCGTGCTGGTCACTGGCAGCAGTGGGATTCAGATGGCTCTGGGGCTGCCCGTCTTGCTCTGGTTTCCACGCCAGCTCACTTCCCTCCCTTTAAAATGAGCTTCTGGCCCTGCCTCAGGCTCTTGTGAGAATTGGAAACACTGACTGCGCTGGATAATTGAAAAGGCCTTGCGAAGAACAGGCAGGGCCTTTCCAGCTTCCTGGGGACTGAACTGTGATGTAGACATTGGGAGCACGGGGTGCCTGGGTTTGGGTTTTGCTTCTGCTGTTTCCTGGCTGTGTGACCCCGTACCCTCTACTGACTTCTCTGTGCCTCGGTTTCCTCATCTAAGTAGGGGTGGTGAGAAACACTGTCTGCTGGGGGGTTGCTCTGCAGCCAAAGCGGGGGGCAGGTGGGGTTCCCTGCTCATCACCCCCCTTGCTCAGGTCTCTAAGGACATCTCCGTGCGGCTGCATAAGGAGCTCGAGGCGGTGGAGAAGAAACGGGCGCGGCTGGAGGAGGAGAACGAGGAGCTTCGGCAGCGGCTCATCGAGACCGAGCTGGCCAAGCAGGTGCTGCAGACGGAGCTGGAACGGCCGAGAGAGGTGAGGGCCCCTCCGTCCCAGGCAGGGCCAGGCCGGGGCAGGGGGCCGTGCGCCAGGGCTCTGAACTGCTGTGTCTGCACGGTTATGCGTCCCTGGTGGAGCTGTCTTTGTCACGTGTTCACCCCCACAGCACACATGTCCTGAGCACCACTGTGTACTCTGAATGCCGACCCTGAGGACAGAGTGGTGAGTGGAAGACACTGGTTCCCGTCCTCAAGGAGCCCACAGGCCAGTGAAGGAGACAGTCATCCACCAAAGAACCGCCACCGTGGGAGGATTAACTAAGGAAGCATTCCACGGTATCCAGCGTGGGGCCGGGCCCTCTGCCTCGGTTTCCTCACCTACAGAACGGGACAGTGATGCCCTGAGTGTTGTGAGGACTGGCTGGGATAACTTGTGTGCACATGCTTTAAGGGCTGCATTTGGTGTGAAGGCAGTGCTGGGGCCGGGCCTCTGGCCAGCCTCTGGCCAGCCTCTCAACACACAGATTTTAGGACGTTAGACGCTTCCTGAATGTGGCCCCCAGGCACTAGCTTGTCTTTGCTCATATGAGTCCTTCCACTTGCCTTCTGCTATGTGTTGGGAGTGCAGCATGTTAGGTACCGTGCTAGACACTTTACCTCAACAATTTCCATAAAGGCCCAGTGAGGTTGTGATTATACCCATTTTATGGATGAGGAAACAGCCCCTGAGAGAAGGAGGGATGTCCTCAAGGTCACACAGGGCCCAGTGGGCTCGCAGAATGCCTCTTGAAAGCCGTCAGCCTAGGTGACCCCTAGGGGCTGGAATCCTCCAGAATTCAGGGGTCTGTGTTCCAGCCAGCCCCGGGTGGCTTCTGACCACAGAGGCACAGCTGGACCTCAGCTATCTGGCTGCTCACGAGGGTATCCTAGGATTGCACATTGTTCTAGGGCATTCCTCACCTTCCCCGAGGGCAGGCGTGCCAGTGTTCCAGGCCTGAGACACCACAGCCCTGAAGCCAGAACAGTCCTCCGGCTGCCCTTCCTCCTGGGCATGTTGGTGTGACGTGCCAATGGCTTCTCAGTGTAGAGACAGGGGGCATTTGCTGCTAAGGGCTGCCATGGGGCCCTGCTCTGCTCCAGGGCTGGGTGGGAGGCCCCCTCTCTCAGGCAGCCTCCTGCCAACCCCCCCCCACCCCTGTGGCCTGGCCCGCGGCACAGGGGGCTGTCTTCACACATCTCATTGTTGCCACCCTTGATAGTGGAAAGGGGAGACAGTTTCAGAGAGTGCCTTAAAGCTTAGCATGTTTCTTTTTTGTTCTTTAAAGATTAATTTATTTAATTGAGAGAGAGAGAGTGTGCATGAGCAGGGGGAGGGGCAGAGGGACAGGGAGAGAAGCAGACTCCTCACTGAACACATGCGGAGCTCAATCTTAGTACCCTGAGATTATGACCCAAGCCCAAATCAAGAGTCAGACACTTAACCGACTGAGCCACCCAGGTGCCTCAAACTCAGCATGTTTCTATTGTAAAGGAGAGGAAACTGAGGCCCAGAGGGGGACAGCTTGCCTGACTTCATCCCCCCTTTCTTGGCAGAGATGTGGCTGAGATCCCAAAGCCGTGTCCCCTCTAAGTCTCCGTTTCTTCATCTGTGACATCGGGATAATAACAGTACCCAGCTCACGAGGTTGTTTATAAGCTTGGGTAACCATAGAAAACTATGAAGAAGTTAAAAAGAATAAAGTAGTATGGCAATTCCTGAACAAATTAAACATGCAATTATTATATGAGCCAGGAGTTCCACTTTGGGATTTATGCCCCAAGGAATGGAAAGCAGGGACATGAACAGATATTTGTACCCCTCTGTTCCAAGCAGCATTATTCATAATAGGCAAAAGGTAGAAGCAACCCAAATATCCATCAATGTATATATATATATACAGTGGACTCTTGGTAAGCTTTGAGAAGGAATGAAATTCTGACACATGCTGCACCATGGATGAACCTTGAAGACATGATGCTAAGTGAAATAAGCCAGCCCCCAATGGACCAGTAGTATATGGTTCCACGTAGAGGACATACTTAGGGTAGTCCAAATTCACAGAGACAGAAAGCAGGGCAGAGGTAGCCAGGTCCTGGAGAGAGGAGGGAGTGGGGAATTGGTATTCAGTGGGTATAGAGTTTCAGTTTAGGATAATAAAAAAGTTCTGGAGATGAATAGTGGTTGTTTGACAAAGTGAATGCACCTAATGCCACTGAAATATATACTTGAAAGTGACTAGAAATGGTAAATTTCATGTTATGTATACTTTAGCACAGTTAAAAAAAAGAATAAGGGGGCGCCTGGGTGGCTCAGTCGTTAAGCGTCTGCCTTCGGCTCAGGTCATGATCCCAGGGTCCTGGGGTCAAGTCCCACATCAGGCTCCCTGCTCGGCAGGAAGCCTGCTTCTCCCTCTCCCACTCCCCCTGCTTGTGTTTCTGCTCTCGCTATCTCTCTCTCTGTCAAATAAATAAATAAAATCTTTAAAAAAAAAAAAAAAAGAATGAGGTAGATATATAAATACTGATGCTGAAAGATCTCTAATAGGAAAAGAAAGAGAGATACATACACACACACACACACACATATATATGTATATGTATCGTGCAATCCCACTAATTATTTTGAAAAGGCATACAGAACAGGCTGGTTTTGGGGCATGTATATGTGCAAATGTATAGCAAAGGTGTGGAGGAAAATCCACTGAACTAAGGAGTGAGAGATGGGAATAGCATGGGGGAAATGACTTTGCTTTGTATTCTTTTAATGAATGCTGTAGTTAGGTGGGTTTTGGTGGCGGGTTTATTTGTGAAATTTGAAATGTAGTCAAGCATGTATACAGCCCTTTGTGGTGCCAGGCACACAGTAGGTGCTCAAGAAACACTAGTTCACTTCCCCTAGGAAGGCGATGTCAGCAAGGCAGGTCTGGCCCTCCCTGGCATGCCCCTTGGTGTCTCAGGATCCGGGCAAGGAGGTGTGGCCCTGTATTTCTTTGCTGATCGCCTTCTCCCCCTCCTCCTTCCTGACATCGTTTCCTTGGAGATGAGGATCCCTTAGCAGTTCTGCCAGAGCTGCCGGAGTCCCATCATCCAGATCTGCCTTTGCCATCCTGACAGGTTGCTGTGGCGATCCTGTCACCCAGCTGGGAACAGGAGCCCCTGGCCTGAGCTGATGTGGTTGCCATGGCGATTGCTCTTCACTGTAGAGAAGGGAGGGTGGCCAGCCCCAGCTGCCCTCTGCGGTGGTTCTGTTGGGCAGCTGGGCTGCAGTTCAAGAATCGTAACACCAGCCTCCCCCTCGTCCAGTATCAGTCCCCCGTTCTTGTGTTTTAGGCAGAAAGCCAACATGAGTGTTGACGTGATGTATTAGAATATAGCTGCTGGGTCTGAGTGCTGGCTCTGTACCAGGCACCACACCAAGCATTTGGTATACCTCCTCGTGCTGTGAAACCAACAGCCTCCCAACATGCCTAGTGTTGTTATCCTCATTTTATAGGTGGTACGCTTCTCGACAGTATTTTAATTGTGATATAATTCACATCCTATTAAAGTCACCATGTTAAAATGTCAAATGTAATGGTTTTTAATATATTCATAGTGTTGTACGTCCATCACCATGATCTAAATCTAGACTATTTCCATTGTCCCTGAAAGAAACCCCGTACCTGTTAGCAGTCACTCCCCATTCCCCCTGCCCTCCAGCCCCTGGCAACTGCTAATCTACACTCTTTCTCTGTGGATTTGCCTATTCTGGACATTTCATACAAATGGAATCGTGCAATATGTGATTTTTTTGTGACTGGCTTCTTTCACACAGCATCAGGTTTTCAAGGTTCATCTATGTTGAAGCATGTGTCAGTACTCATTACTTTTTTTAAAAAATTTTTTGAAAAGATTTTATTTATTTGTCAGAGAGAGAGAGCGCGAGTGTCAGGGAGAGGGAGAAGCAGGCTTCCTGCTGAGCAGGGAGCCCGATGTGGGACTCGATCCCAGGACCCTGGGATCATGACCCGAGCCGAAGGCAGACGCTTAACAACTGAGCCACCCAGGCGGCCCAGTACTTCATTCCTTTTAATGGTCAAATAATAATCCATTGTGTGGATAGACATTTTGTTCGTCCACTCATCAGTTGATGGACATTTGGGTTGTTTCCACCTTCTGACTAGTCTGAGTGATGCTGCTGGGTACATTTGCATACAGGTTTTGGATGTTCATCTGTGTTCAGTTCTCTTGGGTGTATACCAAGGAGTGGACTGCTGCATAGAGATGGAACTGGGGAAAGACAAAGATGGGATTCTAACCCAGGACTCTCTATCTCCCAAAGTCACCCCGACTCTTAGGTGCCGCCCCACCCTCTTCACCCTATCCAGGTACCTCCCTAGGGCCCTGCTGTGTTTTCAGAACCTCCAAAGGGGCTGCTCACGTCAGGGAGTGAGTCCCTCCGTCTCTAGCGCGGGCTTCTTGTCCTGATTCCCACTCCGGTGGGGTAGGCAGGGTGCCGACCTTGGCATCAGATCACCCAGGTTCGAATCTTGGTTCTGCTGGTGGTGTCATCTGATGCAGCCGGGCTGTGGTTTGTGTGGTTTAGGGGAAACTCGAATCTGGAGTCACACGGGCCTGAGTTTGAATGCTGGCCTTGCCGCTCACTTGCCAATGACTGTGCTACTGGGCAAATCGTGTAACTGTTCCAGGGCTCAGTTTGTTCACTTATAAGACAGGAATACGAATCCCTGCTTCTCAGAGACAAGCAGGTGAAGTGCTTAGCAAGGCGCGATCCGTGTCAGGCTGCCTCTTGCCCGTGGAAGGAGCATTTACATCGCAAGTCATGCCTGCAATTGTCAGTGTGTGCCCCAGTGACTTCTGATTTGGGGCTCACGTCTAAACCAGTCTTTGTGGGCGCCTGGGTGGCTCAGTCGGTTAGGCGACTGCCTTTGGCTCAGGTCATGATCCCAGGGTCCTAGGATCGAGTCCTGCATCGGGCTCCCTGCTCTGCGTGGAGCC